ACAGTAGTACAGTGACAAGGGCCAGAAGGCAGAAGGGGACAGGACAAGTAAGCTGGTGATAGGGAACCCAAGGTTGAGTAAGATATTGTTGATGTGCTGTGAGATTGTTAACCATTGTCATAGGGCAACATGTGTAGTAACTGTTAAATGAGAAAGTACTTTGTTCTGTAACCAATGTCATAAACAATATGTGTACTACTGTTTCATGAGAAACTATTTGTTCTGTAAGCTTTCACCTGAATTACAATAAAAAAATTTTAAAAAAAGAAGGCAAGGGCAAAAATATTTAGGTTAGCAAACTCTTATTCCATTCACAGTTCGGTCTCCCTGTCCTCTCTCTCTCTCTGTCCCCCTCCCTCCCTCCAGGAATCTGATATCAGCAGGCATACAGAATAAAAGTAAAATTACAATAATCAACTCTGTTACAACTCATGCCTATTTTCATTATGCAATGACTATTGCATTATAGTCATCTTTCCTGTTTAATGACGTTTTGTTAAAAGAGATTTCCTTATTCAGTTTTCTTAATATTTTTCTTTGTGATTTAACAACACATCTCAGACTAAACTCATCTTTCCCTTTCCAAACCTGCTCCTTTTTCACTTGTCCCTGTGTCCCTTCAAGTTGGCCTCATTTTCCCCATCAACCTCTCAGCCATCTTTGCTATTGCCCTCTCACCCGTGTCCAATATCCAGACCCTACTTGACTCTTCTCTTAAAATCTGTGTTTTCCTCACCATTTTCATTGCTACTTTCCCTACCTAAGCCCTTATCGTTTCTCACCTGAACTGTTACACTGACCTATGCCCTCCCAACTTCCAGCTTGTCTTGTTAAATCATCCCATACACGGGAGGCAAAATAATTTTTCTAATAGATCAATCACCTTGCTACTCTGGTCATATACCTTTATGGGCTCTCCGTTATCTACAGAATAAAAATTATGCTCCTTCGTAAGCTATACAACAGTCTCCACGATCGAACCTCAATCTACTTTTCCAGCTGTAGCGACACGTACCTCTCAAGTTATGCCCTCCCCCATAACCTGGGCTTCAGCCAAGTCATACAAGTTGCAGTGCTTTTATATGCCTTGCCTTCTCCAACCTGAGTGCCCCTATGTACAGTCTTCCTTCTTACTGAATGCTGTTTCCTCTCTCCACATTCTTCACGTCACAGCTCAGACACTACCTCAGTCAGGAAGCTGTCCCCAGTCACTAATCCTCGCCTACTAACCCTTAGTGAGAAGAGCCCTCTTCTTCTGTTGGTGAATCCCCTCTGCCATCTTGCTATGATTTGTCTCTAAGAAAGCTTATGTCATCAAAAGTCGGGGTGATAGAAAAATTTAGAAATGAATAGTGTTGATGGTTGTACAACATAAGCATAATGTCACTGAAATGTACGTGTAAAAAATGTTGAAATGGCAAATGTTTTGTTTACATATATTTTTACCGTAATTTTTTTAAGTCATGCTTTCAGGAAAATTAGTAGCTGGAAAGATTTATACGTCTCCTCACAACGTGATTTTGCCTGTAGAAATTTCAATAAGGAATATTATAAAACCTCACTGAATGAATGCAGTAACTGATTCCATTCAGCTTCAGCTCAAGAATAATGGCCTTTCTTCTCCTATCATCAGCAGAGCCTCCATTATACTCATTACCACCCATTAGTACCACAAAGACACTCTATCTAAAAGGGCATCTTCATTTCACCCGTCTTGGTGTTTTCACCCAGAACACACAATGCAAATTATGTTCCTCACCTAATCAATCACATTATACTTGATTAGCATTATGAAATCTTACTTACCTGCCAAAGTGCTTCCTCCTCCCCCTACTCCCTGCCTATCAAAATTCTAAACCCAATGCAGATAATCAATAACTGCTGCTTAAATTCAAAGAGAAAATAAAATTTGTTACTATTATTGCAATCCACTCAGAACAGATTTGAGACTCTTTTTCAAGAAATGTTTTAAACTGAGGAATGATGAGGCATCATGAATAACCTGAATGAGGTCACATCTGCCTTAGTAAATGCAGTATCCTCAGAACCTCATTTCTTGTCTGGCACACAGAAGGTGGTCATTAAATATCCATTGAATTAATAAATCAGTAGGGTCATGTCCATGCCAGCTGGGTGGGCAATTGCTATAAGCAAGACCACTATATTACAGCCAAGGAGTTCCCAGGTGGTACAGATGGTTAACATGCTTGGCTGCTAAAAGAAAGGTTGGAGGTTCAAGTCCACCCAGAGGTGCCTCAGAAGAAAGACCTGGCAATCTACTTCTGAAAAATTGGCCACTGAAAACCCTATGGAGCCCAGTCCTACTCTGACACACATGGGTTGCCATGAATCAGAATCAACTCAGCGGCAACTAGTTTTATATTACAGGCAAAATTTAATTTTTCAGGGGAACTGTGAGAACTTACTATATTTTTTAACGTTAAGAGCACATTTAATTGTCATTTAGGAAAGGAATTCTTTCTCTAAACTTCTCCCCCTTTAGGATCAACTGCTTAGTGGAATGCTCCAGCTATCTGCAAAGTCTTTAAGTGTTTGTGAAAGTTTATCCTGCCTGTGAAACTAGAAGATACAACCTGTGACAGCCAAAAGTGAAGTTATATCCACTTAAAAATATTATTTTCTACCACCTGTAAGAAACTTCCAACATGTGTACACATTGGTGCGTGTGGATAGATAGACAGACAGACAGACAGTTTCCTTCACTGAATACTTCAAGAAGTAAACTAAACTAAATGTGAATAGCTAAATACTCATAAAGCCAAACAGAATGTTCACATGTAATGATTGTACCCTATTTCTAAAGGGGTGCTAGATGCACAGGTGTGCTATATTATAATTGCCCACTCACCGTCTCCCCAGCTGCTAATGGACATGATAGCTACCAATGCACATACTTATAGTGACCCTATGCAACAGAGAAGAACTGCGCCATAGGGTTTCCAATGACCAGCTGGTGGATTCGAACGACAGACCTTTTGGTTAGCAGCCAAGCTCTTAACCACTGTACCACCAGGGCTCCAACGGACATAAAGTAAAGTATGTGCTTTGGGGGAGATGATGGCCCTCTGAAGAAAGCCAGGACTCTATCTTAGTGGGGTAAAGGAGGAAGGGCTGTTCTCTGGTTTCAGTAAATCTAGAATAGCCTGAACAGGGGCAATAAATGATGTCCATTACCTACAGGGTGCCTTCCACTTTTATTACCCCCTTTTACCTTTTATTGCCCCCTCTCATAACCCCTTCCCCTACCTGCTCTCTGTACATGCTATTTGGCACATAGACATGGCTGTCAAATTAGTATTTAATCCTGGGTGAGAGGAATTTAGGTGTTCTTCTCCCAAGATGTGACCTGAGGCATGCTTGGGTGAGATCTAACCCTGTGGACAAGAGCCTAACTTCGGAGAACCTAGGCTGATGATGATGATGTGTGCTGTTCTACTCATCCCTGTCCCGTTTATTCTGTAAGTAGTAAATGCCTGGTAAACACACCACTCGAAGTGTCTAGTCTGTGCTCTGCTCCAAACAGTCCTTCACTGAGAACTTGTGAGTATAGTGACATTGCAAGGGGTTAGGTAAACACTACATTTCTTCTTTTTACTTTAAAAAAAAAAACTAAACAGTCCATACTTAGCAGCCGTATCATCTAGCCAGTACAATCACTATTGTGCCAAGTAGAGTAGCCCAGTTTGTTGTTGCTTTCAGGCGCCATCGAATCAATTTTTGACTCATAGCAACTCTATGTGACAGAGGAGAACTTCTCCATATGGTTTCCTAGGCTCTAATCTTTACAGAAACAGATTGCCAGGTCTTTCTCTCTAAGAACCACTGGGTATGTTTGAACCACCAACCTTTCGGTTAACAGCTGAGCACTTAACCATTGTGCCACCAGGGCTCCTTAGCCCAGCGTTGCAAGGGATAACTTCTCACATATTCTACAGAGGTTGAAATGTACCTGCCATCTTGGATTCTGGGAACCCCAAATGGAAATATCAAATTTAGGAAAGAAATCAAGGAAGGCAGGCAAGCATACAGACACACACACCCAGGGGTGATAGTCAAAATACTTAACTTGTCTGAAAGAGGGATTAAAGAATCAGAATGAATGCTAAACCAATCACAACTGATGCCAGTCCTAAATAAATAAATATATATATAAAGAATTAGTCTTAATTTAAGATTTACAGAGCATGTTTTCAAATATTACAACAAATACCTCATAAATGCAAAAGCACATCAGACAAGATGCTAGAGAAAGATGCCTCATTAAAGTAGTAAGTACCAAAGAAGATATTTATGACACCTGACTGTAAATGACAACTTTATAAGCGATGATCCAAGATGAGGCATAAAAAGCAAAGAATATATTCATAGCATATTGGAGACTCTGCAAGTGAAGATGGGCTACAAGTAAGTAGCTCAGGTTACTTATGAGAGAGTATAAATCTTGAAACTCAAGTAAAACCATTCAGAGTCACTGGATTTAACAAGTGAGAAGATTTGTGGAGTAGACCAGCAAAAATCAACATAAATTTCAAACCTGCACCTTTGTAAATAAATATTTTAAGAATACAATGAATTCCTCATTGCTGCTTTAGAGAAGTAGAGTCTATTTATTCTACCACTCACAAAGGAAAATAAAGAGGTAAGCAACTGTATTTTATTTTGGCTTTAGCATATTTTACTTCATCATATATGGGGTTAATGAAGTCTACTGTACATGCTACGTCTGACCATAGTATAATGTAACTGAAATTATGCAGAAGAGAACTAAATACTTGACTGATTATCCAGAAGGCATTTTAAAAAACTGTATAACTCCAGGATCATCTGTCATCACTGGACTGAAACAGCGTTAGCAGAAATTTTCATTTAACAGATTGCCATACAAATAAAGTTCATGTATGTGTGTGTTTCAGTGCAATTAATATTATGAAAACTCAGTTCGTGGTGACATTGCATGTATGATATAATACTGTACTTACCACACAAGCACTTTCTTTGGTACTGCTGGGGTTCTGGTCACCATAATACCGTGTAAACTGGTAGTCCTGGTACTGCGGAATATGGGACATCTCAGCTTTGCTTTTAAATTCCAATGTCAAAATGGTGGGCGGTAAAAGAATACTTATGATGATCTGTAAAAGAAGACAAAGCAAAATAAATAGTAGAGGTTACATAAGGCACAAATATCATTCAAATATCAAAATTAAAATTTTAAGTGTATATAAAATATCAGGCCCATCCTCAATTCAGTTTATACCCCAATCCTATACATAATTTTTGACTCAGTAATTCCAGTTATCGTTCATTCTTCTGGCAGGTTGAGAAGGATATTATGCTTGTAAAGTAGAGGGTTAGCAAAAAGAAGAAGACCCTCAATGAGATGGACTGACACAGTGGCTACAACAACGGGCTCAAACATAACACCGATTTTGAGGATGGTGCAGGACTGGGCAGTGTTTTGTTCTGTTGTACATGGGGTCACTGGGAGTTGGAACCGACTCGACGGCACCTGTCATGGATTGAATTGTGTCCCCCAAAAATGTCTGTCAACTTGGCTGGGTAACGATTCCGAGTATTGTATGATTGTGTACCATTTTGTAATCTGATGTGATTTCCTTATGTGTTGTAAACTCTATCACTATGATGTAATAAGATGGACTAGCGGCAGTTACACTGGTAAGGTCTATAAGATTAGATAGTGTCTTAAGCCAATCTCTTTTGAGATGTAAAATATGTACAGGGCAAGGCCATGGGGAAAATTATTTCTCTAACTTCCAGCTATCCATACTCATCTCACTCCCTCAGTGTTTAAAAGGGGCTATTGCCAGAGCTTGTGTAGTTAGAGGTGAATCTATTCACATCTCTGCTTCATCATCTACAAGGCTGCAACTGAAACAGACCAAAGGAGAATTTCTTCTGGAAACAATTTGGTGCTGTTTCTTTGATACTTTCTTAAAGGGGTATCTACATGAGATAATCATTGATTGACATTTCTTTTATTTCTGTTATCTAATTGGTAGAAATTAAAATGTGCAAACTTTTTTATATATTTTATAGTTTGTTATCTCTTATTTTTGGAGGTCTTTTATAGAGTGTGCATCAAAAATCTATTCTTAAGAACTGTATGGGATACATTGTATTTTTAGGAACCCTGGTGGTACAGTGGTTAAGAGCTATGGCTACTAACCAAAAGGTTGGCAGTTCGAATCCACCAGGTGCTCCTTGGAAACTCTATGGGGCAGTTCTACTCTGTCCTATAGGGTCACTATGAGTCAGAATTGACTCGATGGCAATGGGTTTGGTTTTTGTTTTTAGGGAGAAAAAGGAGTCCCTGAGTGGTGCAAAGGAGCCACAGTGGTGCAGTGGTTAAAGTACTTAGCTGCTAACCAAAGGTCAGTGGTTCAAACCCACCAACCACTTCATGAGAAAAAGATGTGGCAGTCTGCTTCTGTAAAGATTTACAGCCTTATAAACCCGGTACGGTCGCTATGAGTCAGCATCGATTCAATGTCAATGGGTTTGGTGTTTTTTTGGTGACTGGTGCAAACAGTTAAGAGCTCGACTGCTAACTGAAAGGTTGACAGTGTGAATTCACCCACAGACACTTCAGAAGGAAGTCCTGGTGATGATCGACTTCTGAAAAAAATCAGCCGTTGAAAACCCTATGGAGCACAGTTCTGCTCTAACACACATGGGGTCGCCACGAGTCAGAGTCAACTAGATGGTTTTTTTTTTTTTCCTTTGAGGGAGAATAATATTAAAATATAAAATAAACCTCTTAATACTTACGCTTTATTCCGTTTCATAAGTATGTGTGCTTTTTAAGCTCGACCCTACCCTAAAGCTGTAAGCTTAGGTTTGATGTCAAAAATTAAATGTCCTTAGTGGTTAACTAAATTACTCTTGATTATTCAAGAGTGAGGAATGAGGCTGAACTATAATGAAACTGGGGCCTTGGAGATGGTCAGTGGTGAGAACAAACGTGTGTGAGGGCAGCCTTATAGAACAGCCACATATTCCCTGAAACAACACGTTGGATGTGCAGAACAACCAAAATTAATAATTTTATTTAGTTTATTATCTGTTAGTATTCCTAAGCTGAGAAAAAATTCCACTAAAAAGTCTCAATCACTGTTGTCATTATCAGGGTCAAAGGAGTTTGGAAATAACAGAAACTCGCATGCTCGTATATGCTTTTTACATCTTCTGAGCATCTCCATTTGAACATGCCTTTGTGGTGGACAGAAAAGACATAGTTAACCCTGATTTCAAAAAGAAACTGCAGCACTCATTGCCATTGAGTCGATTCCAACTCATAGTGACCCTATAGGACAGAGTAGAACTGCCCCATAGGGTTTCCAAGGAGGATCTGGTAGCCTCAAACTGCCAACCTTTTGGTTAGGAGCCAAGCCTTAACCACTGTGCTGCCAGGGCTCCAAAACTGCAGTAGTGGGAAACAAAGTAGTTTTCAGAGGTTCCACAGGGAAGGAGCCCCAGCTCATCTCTTGAGAATCAGGGATACTAGTTGGTTTGCCTGAAGATACACTTCTGGAACAAGTGAAAAATGGAACTCAAGTGTATAGACCCTCAAAGGAAACAGATTAAACTGCCTAAGGCAAGTAAATTTACCTTTAACCAAGAGTGCTTCCTCATTTTTAGGCACCCCATCCACATGTCAGTCAGTAGCATTTGGGTACAAGTATGTGAGACAAAGGGTCGCAATCCTCCAGACACAGCCAGTTTCAAGCAGGTAGCATTGCTCCAGTTCTTGAGTTCATATGTCAACATCTTCATGGCCATTTGCTCATTCTGCTTGAATGCCTTCTCCAACATGTCCAGGGCAAGCTGGCCAAACTGTCTGTAATGATAGAGAAAACCAGTGCAGGTGAGAGCTCCAGAAACATTCTAAAAGATTGGATATGAGACCAAAAAAAAAAAAGACCAATTAATTAGCCTTGTTAAAAAAACAGCAAACAGCAATTTAATAATCTCAGTTCACAGAAGTTATTTTAGAGGGATTGCCACTCAGCTGTCTTATTTCCTGAAGAACAGGATTAGAGGGTATGTGCTGTAGCATACAGAATTTGCTTTACACCAGAAGTACTTGAGCTATTCATGGAGAGAAGCCACGCCACACAATACAGTGAGCTAAACATATCTAGGTTTGGAACTCCCTGATAAGACTCACTAAAGAATTTCTTGGCAGAAAAGACTGTTCAAAGTCTGAACAAGCAATTAAGGAAAATTGTGGAACCAGTTTTTTCTCCCCCACCCCGAAGATTTTTAAAAATACGATAGATTTTGAAGAGTTTACAAAATCTACAAATAACTTAGGAAGAAGCCAGACCTGAGGACACCCTCAGGCTTCTGATTTCGTGATGTTTCATGAGGCTATTTCCTCTGAAAAGTAGATTCTATCATTTTCTGGAGTTTCGTTGCTTTTTCTTTTTTTAATCAAAATTATAAATAAGTTTCCATTAACTCAGCTTCCCTTCTTTTCTCACTATTAAGAAAAATTTATAAAAATCACAAATATTTCTAACTTTAATAATCAAAAACTTTTCTATCTCCACCATCACTCTCTGGTTCCTCAATACAGTGCATTTATTTATTTATTTTAACTCACCTGAGATACTTAAAGTAAACAGCAGGTTTTCTTTTAACTTAGTGTCAAAGATTTGGGACTTGGGAGGGACTTTCAGCACCATCAATCAAACATTTTATAGTCAGGAAGCTTTAGTCTAGAAAAAATCAGCTGACTTGCCCAATTAGTAAACAGCTACACTGGGACTAGCACCCAAGTCCCCTAACTTGAAGGATACCTCTTTTCCCTTTATTCCACAAAGCTCTTTAAAACACTTAAGGACCCTTTTAACAGGAAAGTCCATGAAATGCACAGCAATAAGTCCACTCATAAGTTCTAAGGTGAGGGAGATAAAAGTGTCTAACCATTCTAAGAACTGTCGATGTTTACTATGAAGTGAAGAGAGAACTCCTACTTTGAGTAATTTTTCAACTCTTCAGAGGCATCATCCACCATGTTGCTCTCCTTAGCTTCACGGGCCATTGCTCGGTAGAGTTTACAAGCAATCACAGCCTTAACCGTGGCCTCCTCGCCGTGTTGCCAGAAGAACATGGCCATCTTCTGCCTTTTCATGAGCACAGCCCAAACCAGCAGGTCATTGTAAGGGTAAATAAAGCCAGTAGACTCAGGGTCCTCTGACACATTTTGTTCTTTTGACTTCTTCCTTGATTTATGAAGGGCTGTAGACTTTTCCTTTTGGAAAATAAAACAAGAATGAGTTTCCAAATATTCAGATGTATGATGGTTCTACTCACCTAATGTAAAACAACAGGTACCTTAGAGATATTTTTTTAAATTCATGCTAAAAAAGAGATGGAAATAATAATAAGACTTTATAAACCAGCAACCAAAATTTAGACCTTTTAAGGTAATCTATTCCTTAATGAGTTTAATAAATCCTGTGTCCTTAAACTGAGATGCCTTCAGTTCATTTAACACAGGTTAAAACAGTGCCCCTTCAGGTACTCAAGAGAACAGGCTGAAATAACAATTTGCTGGTTAAATAAAAACTGTAAAAGACTCTAACCTCACCTTAGCAAATAGATTCATTATCTTCTCCTTAGAAAAATGCCACTAGTATTGCCCACACACATCCAAATAGATAGATAGGTTTTGAGTTCCTCTCCTTTATTCTGGTTCTATTCCTCTAGTAATGATGATATAATAATAAAATTATATTCTCCACCTGGTACACCTACCCTGTTCAGTTGAGCTCAAATACCATTCTCTAATTCCCCATGTACATCTATATCACTTTGTCTTTCAATGCTCACCATATTGCATTATGATTAGTACTTCGAAGAGGAGGTGGGATTATTTCCCAATTGTCACTATTTCTTTCCCTACCAACCCACATCCCAAATTCAACCAAGTATTCAGCATAACGCCTAGCAAATAACAAATATTCAATAATTATTATTTGGAATTAAATGAGTTATAATAAAAATTGTAAGAAGTTTCTTCCATTTCTATAAATAAAGGGAATTTGTGTTCATTGATGATGACCAAGAGTGAATTTATAAAATGTATTTGAAGCCCAGGAACTGTGGAAAACATACCTCTAGGCCAACATAGTAGCCATTTATATGGAAACTCTTGAGCAAAAGCATTCATCCCTAGAGGAAAGTGGACCAGAGGAGACACGGGGAGAGAGAGAATCCCAACCTTGCTCTCACACACATACACATAAATACACTCTCATTGTCTTATCTGTAACATTAACATTAGACTAAAATTAATTTCAAGAAAGGCTCAAAGAGGAAAAAAGAAGCCGCAAAGTGTCAGTTGAAGGGAGAGGTGAAGGAGAAGGAAGAAGTCGCATCCAATTAGCCTTGAGGAAAGGGGAATAAGGATGTGGTATTAGACTAATGGAGCCCTGGTGGCGTAGTGGTCAAGAGCTACAGCTGCTAACCAAAAGGTCAGCAATTCGAATCCACCAGCCGCTCCCTGGAAACCTTATGAGGCAGTTCTACCCTGTCCTATAGGGTCACTACGAGTCAGAATAGACTCAATGGCAGTAGGGATTGGACTAACGATTACATTTTTTAGTACCAAGCCAGGACTGCCTTCCTGAGTCACTCTGGGGACACAGTAAAGGCAGAAACAAGGGAAAGAGGCTGAAGTACAAGCCCAGGCAATCATTTAGTTGCCAGTGCTCTGTCCTGAGCCTTTGCTCATTGTTGTTAGAGGACAGCTGTGTTATGCTCTTTACTTACGCCATCTATTTATGGTACTTGTAAATGGTCCTTCTGTTTGTACCTCTCATTATCCAACTTTAAATGAAGAAACAGTCTCAGTCTGCAAAACCAATGCTATTTTCAAGTCTAAAAACAAGTAAATGGTACCTTGAGTTTGTAAGGCTGGGCGGTTCTAATGAATTGAGAATGCAACGTGCTTTCCACAGACTCTTTCCTGTTTCCTGAGGTCCATCTCTGGTGAAGGGAGGGCTGAGAAAGTCTTTGAGCAAAGCTGGTCACTGTCTGCTATATGTTGTTATTTTATTTTTTAAGTAAAACAAAAAGGGTAAAAGAAAATTACAGTGGTAACAATCAACATTTTATTTCTAGACAGTAAAGAAAACCAAATATAATGTTGTGTCCTACCAAATATCTGATATTTCTGTCTCTCCTCCATGATTAGCAATTAATCTCCCTGGAGGAAAGTTCACCTAACAAAAGCCTCCTTATTTAGTAAATGGTAATTTCCTAACATCTAAGAGAGCACACTCTCTTGTTCCCTGTTATATGTCTGCAATCTTTCTCTATGTGGAAATTCCTTTGGAATCAATGGATGTTTTATACCTGGAACAAGTTCAGAATAGGCAATAAAGATTCACAGTTTCTGATAAGAAAAGGTCCCTATCTACAAACAGCTCCAAGGTTAAGGTTAAGTTAGAAAGTTACTGGAATTTCTCCAGGTGTTATATAATATATCCAGTGGATGGGCCCGATGGCTACTTAATTCACCGCTATGGTGGCACTGTGGTTCAAGTACTCAGATGGTAACTGAAAGGTCAGCAGTTCAAACCCAACTAGCTGCTACGTGGGAGAAAGATATGGCAGTCTGCTTCCATAAAGATTACAGCCTTGGAAACCCTATGGGGCAGTTCTACTCTGTCCGATAGGGTTGCTATGAGTCAGAACCAACTCACTGGCATCTAACAACAACAGTAGTATGATATAAAATTAATAGTATCATTATTGCAATAATCTTAATGACTATCATCTTTAACAGTTATTCTATACCCTCTATGTAGCAGGAATATGGGTTTTTGGGTATAATTTGATCCTGCTGGCAAATTTAGAAGGGGGTATTAATATTCCCACTTTATAGATCAAGAAATTGACACACAGAGAAGTTAAGTTTCTTCGTCCAGATTACAGAGCTACTAATTAGCAAAACTAGGATTCAAACTGAGATCTCTCTGATTCCAAACCATGTACTCATAACTGCTACAATCTAGTGTACTGTGAGATACAATGATCTCTGTACTCCTTCCATGGAAAACAACCACAGAAATGGGTAATTTAATACTGGTGGATCATTTCTAGAGAGGTCCCTAAGGTAACATCCCTAACAATCTCCCAACTGGGCTCCCACCAAGGCCGCAGTCAGTCTTCATGCCTGCCACTGGTAACATCACTGCAATGAATATTTTCTTTAAATGAAGTAGCTGATACCTCCTTAGGTGTATCCCTATGCCTCTGAAATCTTAACAAAGAACATTTTCTCTGTGATTTTGGGTTATCCTTTGTTTTGTTCTGCTTGTTCATGTCTCCAATTCACCTGACTCTTTATAAATAAAGGTCAAAACTGGCTTGGTATCCTAGGCTCTTCACGTGGTCTTAGCACAAACTACTCTCCGCCTCATCTCTAACAACCCTCTGGGTTCCTCTTCTCCAACAACACAGGTTTCCTGGTCACTGCAACCACACACTGATGTCCACAGAACTGTGCCCTTCACTGCTTATGCTCTTCCCCAACCAAAAATGCCCCCAAGCTACCTTTTCTAACACTTCCCTGTCCTCTAATAAAAATTAGTCTCTTCTGGTTACTGATCTATAATGCCAATTTTAAGAAATGAGTAATGTTGTCTCTGCTAATCTAATAACCAGCAATTCTAATTTTATATTTCTAGACTTTAAAAACCATGATGGAAAATAAAATATGTATAATATGTATTTTAAGTACATTCTGCATGTATCTTCCAATACAATCTCTGCATGACATATTGTACTATGGCGAATTACTCATAAATCTGTTTCCTTTACTTTCTAAACTCCTGATCTTTATGTCCATCTGAGACCAGCATGCCAACACTTAGCACAGGACTTTACACACAGCAGATACTCAATAAACACTGATGAGCAGAATGTTCATTTTAGAAGCTAATCCCATCTGAACTTCCCCAAACCATTTTTTTCTAAAACTACAAATCCTAATTATCCTTAATTTTACTAGGGCATCTTCCATTTATGCTACCTTGCGTTTTCTATAGAGGTTGTTGTACAGCATTCTGAAATTTTTTCTAGTGTAGCTGCTGCGATATGCTCCACCAATGAGGTATTCTATTACCAATCCAATGTCAATCAGTGTGATTTTGTATTCTGAGAAAAGGATATTCTGCAACAACAACAAAAAAAAAATCACAAATTATAACTTTCAATTCTCTTTTTCTATCTTTTTCACCATGCCATTAGCATATAACCAAATCAACCTCAAAGAGTAGACTCTTTTTTCAATCACCTTTACAAATCGATCAAGTAATATGACCAGCTGTTAATATAACACGCTTGTCCCAATGGAAAAAAAATACTTAGTCTTAACTTGATTTTTCAGCTTCATAGACAAAGAATGTGTCTATATTATCTACTCGCTCGCTTCTCTCTCTTTCGTTCTTTCTTATGCATACATATATATGTACACAATTTACAATAAAATACATTTAAACATAATTTAAAAGCTTATTTTTACCTGAAAATAATATAACTACCATGACTGAAAAAAAATCACTGAAGGATAAACTTAATATTTACGATCCAAAATGCACATTGGGTTAAATCATCGGCCTCAATCTTCTTTGAAATGGTTCTAACACGTTTCCCTGTGTTGCCTACACTGTATGTACAAGAAGAATACGCAAGGAAGTAGAACAAATAAAAATAGGAACATCAAACAGCAGGACCAAAGGAGATGGCAAAACATGAGCCTGTGCCAAGACTAGTGTTCCCGCTGGTAGGAGGGGTGAGTGGCAGATTTCCAAGTGCACAGGTCTTAGTCTAAATGAAAATTATTTTGGCCCCTTCAAACCTACCTTCCTACCCCTTCATAACTGTCTACTTCATGGTAAATGTTTAGAGGTACATGGAGTGCTGAACGTAGTCTCTGAAATGAGTAACTTGCAAATAATGCAAACAAAGCTCTGAACAAGAAATAAGATTTTGTGTACACGCATACGTGTGTCTGTGAATCATTTTATTTCCCTTTTTCACATTCAAATTAACTTTTTTCAAGGAACACCAAAAACAATGCTTTTAATTGCTACTGGTTAAAAGCATATTCAACCTGTTTCATTCCTTTTTCTGCTTTTTATTGTGAAAGAATCAAAGTTTAAGGAAATAATTTCAGGAAAGTCATTTTGATGTAAGTCAACGCAAACTAAAATTTACATCAGCATGGACACTTTTGCTTCCTACTAACTTGCCAACTAAATGTCTTCCTCTGCAGTCCTATCATCCTGGCTCCCCCACCAAGTCAACACAAGCAGAAAGTCCACACTCTTTCCATCAAATATCAGACTTCAGAAAGATGATCATTTTAAGAACTGCAGGAGAAAAACTTTGTAACGTGCTGTGGATGGATTTTAAGCACGATGATAAATCAAAAGCACTCTCAATTTTCTGTTGATGTGAATAAAAGTTCTTGATAATTGAAAGAGAAGGAATTAGGGTACAAAGTCTGTTAAACTTGAAAAGCTTTGGTAACTAACGGGAGATCAAAGGATTTTAAGTATAAGCTAACTCAGTGTTCAATGAGAACACCACGAACAAAATACGAGTTAGGGAATAGAGCAATGAGCTCCATATCCTTACTCCCCAGAACAATGCTTAGACTAAAAAAAAGTGATAAATCCCCAAGTCATCACCAATGTTTAAAGCAATACTAACAATGGGAATCATGTATTTGTCTTCCAAAAAAGATAAGAGAACCATCAAATTTCTTTGTTTTCATTTGATTTTATTATCGTAAGTGGTGGTAAAGTAGTAACGTGCTGAAATGAAATTCTGATTGGAAGTTTTGCATGTCTCCAATTCATAGTTTTTTTTGTTGTTGTTGTTTTTGGGAAAATAATTGTGAACTAATGTCACTTATTTGGTGGATCAAATCTTTAACAATATGAAGAAAATTAAGGAGAAAAAATATAAGAGTGTGGCTTGGTAAAGAAATGGCTCAGAGCCACAGGTAAAGAGGGTAATACACTAGAAAAATCCAAATTTATATTTTTAAAAGCAAAAGCTGGTTGACACTTCTATCACAAAGCTAAAGCAACACACAAATTCTCACAGCACCTCTGTAATTAGGTTACCTGTTTAACGTCTTGGACAAGATGATGTAAGAGCATATTAGTAGGTCCTTGTTTCTGTAATAAACAAAAGGAAGAATTATTCTCTTAAATTACCATGTGCTAAGGGGGAAAAAAACTATTTCAGTATGCATAAGTAACCCAGATACTGAAATTTTTTGTCAACATCTTTAGCATGAAGTTTAAGCCAATTAACTCTAAGGAAGATGTTTCCCAAGAGATGTAATTAGATTGAAATATTTTTCAAAGCAAAATGTGTGTGTGTACGAGAGTGAGAGAGACAAGGACTTAATTAAATTTGTGTGGCAAGAAGTAGAAGGAAATTTCATGTAATTTATAATTATCCTTTATCATATATGAAGTTTTTGGCTTAATCTATCCTATTATACAATTCCATTTTAAAAACAAATATTTATTGAACACTTACTATATTCATTCAGACCTCTAAGAAACTCAGTGAGGAATATAAGCCCTTTCTTCTTACGGTGTTTACAATCTAATAGAAGAAACTGGGTATTTACACTAAAAAACCAATAATATGAAGATGTGTATGCTCGAAAAAAGTTACAAGTAATTACAGCCATAGAGAAAGAACTGGGCAATCAAGAAGACAGGACTTAAACAGGGCTTTGAATAAAGGGCAAAATTCAAGGAAACTAACAGGGAGGACACTTCAGGTACAATGCATGGCTTGAGCAACTGGTGTTTTCACAATGAGTAACCAAGTCTAGTTTCAACAAAGAGATTGCATAGGATATTTGCAGGAAGAGAATTCTAGCAGTGGCCTTAGGTTGATATGCTTTCAATAACTCAATAAAAGTCATTTGTCCTTCTTCACATCTTTGGCTTTAATTATATCTTACTGTATTTTCTTAGTTTATGTTTCTATTTTGTGTAATGACTCAGTACCTCAGTGGGCTTTTCAAGCATGTTTTATTAAAATGGGAAATACAGAAATGGCCATAGAATAAAATGGAATTGATGAGAATGTTTCTTCTTTGGTTGGGAAGTCTATCTCTCTATAAACTCTTTTAGCACATGAACATTCAAGGAGACCGCTAAATCTTAAGCTAATTAATAAATGAATCTTTAAGGAGTTGATTGATGAAATTGTTCCATACTCACGGTATTATAGAGCTCTTCCAGGCGGGGGATGGTAAGAAAGTGATGAAGGTTCACTCCATATTCTATTAAGAGTTTCACAAAATCTACCCGATCCATCATTAAAGCATCTAACATTGCTTGTTCCAGTGAGCCAGGCTTCAGGGGGTAGAAATAAATAAGAAATGTAAGAGCATTCAGAAAGTATAAGTAACTAAAGAATTACATGTGTTTAAATTCAAAAGTACACCGACAAATATAAAATACTATCTTACTAAGAAAGTCACAAGAGGAGAAAAAAAATGAAGTCATAAAAAAATCTTAAATAAATGAAGAACCATGGCATGTTCTTGGATGAGAAGATCAACTATTGTAAAGATTTCAATGCTTCCCAAATTAATGTACAGGTTTAATGCAATACTAATAAAAATCCAAGGTTCTTTTTTTTTTTTTTTTTAACTTAACATTGTTTCCACTCAAACTGTACCTTACTTCTGGGTAGAAATGGTAAATTGAACACAATCATCTACTTTTACGCCTACCCAAAACTCCACTGAACTACAGTAAATGGATTTTTGTGTGTGTGTGTGTGTGTCTTAATTACTCCACAAGGTCAAGAAGAACAAGACTGGAGACAGGTACAACACTCTGGAAGTTGGAAAGCAGGTGGTCAATGATGATTGACTTAGTAGTCCCCAGAAAGTCAAATACTGAAAGCTGAAAAAGTCAAGAACAAATCAGATCTATACCACAAAATTCTAGGAGCACCAGGATGAAACAAATAAATGCATGCTGAAGCCTCAGTGTTGAAACCTTCCCAGTTGTCTTTCCCCACTTCACTCCCATAACCCAAGCAGCAAGGCATTTACCTTCCAGAAAGGGAATTAGAAGAGTCCTTTCTGGTAATGTGACCAATATAAGAGAAGAGATATGCTGACATCAGGGTTCCCCCCAGCAAATGGCAGCTATATCATCCTTCTGTGAAGCTCAAAGCTGTCAACCTCCACCTACAGGCTCAGAACTTCTAACGAGCCTTCTAACCTCCACTCTTAAATAATGAACGTGAAAAAAACCAGACAAAAAAAGAAAATCCACTAGGAAGAAACAGATAACACATGAAAAAGAAAGTTTCAAAGGAGCTATCTATCATTAACATCCTCAGAGAGACTATTAAAAAAAAAAAGATATTGTATCCAGGATGCTATGAAAAAAAAAGAAGGGGAGGGTGGACAATCAGAGAACAAATTGCTCTTAAACATTAATAGTACGCTACCAGAAATGAGCGACTCTGTAGAAGGCTTGGAAATGAAAGTTGAGAAAACCTACCACAGAAAAGATATGGCAGTTAAGAGGAGAAAGATAAGAAAATTAGAGGAGCAGTCCACAAGATCCAACATTCAAATAAGAGGAATTCCAGAAAGACAACAGAGAGAATAGAGGAGAGGAAATCCTATAAAATAGAAACACATGAGTGCCAGATTGAAATCATGTGCCCAGCATAATGAATATAAACAGTTTCACAGACACATCATTGTGAAATCTCAGAACACGGGGCGAAAAGAATATTCTAAAAATTTCCAGAGAAGAAAAAAAGTCTCAAACAAAGGATCAGAAAACAGAAAGCAATGCTGGGCTCTGGGAGCTAGGGATTCAAATTTCTGAAGAAAAATTATTCCCACTCTTGAATAAATACTTTCAGACAACTCAAAATATTTATCTACCATACTCCCTTCCTCAGAAAGTTACTCAAGGATGTTCGCCATTAAAATGAAGGAGTAAACCAAGAAAGAGGAAGATACGGAATGGGAAAACAGGAGGAGATCTAGCACAGGAGAGAGGCAAAAGGAATTCCCAAGATAATGACGGGAGATTCCTGGATGACTGAAGAGCACCAGGAATAGAAGGCAACTGATCTAGATTATAGCAGTGGCAACCACAAGACAAAAATGTTGAGGGGTCTTTAAGACTGGTGATCCAGAAGACAGCAATATGACTTATTATTTAGAACTCTGGAGATTTATAAATGTCAGAATAGTAAAAAAAAATATCAAAAGTGCTTGGCTCTTGGGTACAACAGAACAGGGAATGCCTATTTTTTTTTTTTTTTGGAGTCCTTTAGTACATTTTGATGTTGTAAATAATGGGCATGTACTACTTTGACCCCAAAATAATAAAAATTCATGTTTTAAATATACCTATGGCATACAGTCACAACTTTAATTTTTAATAATGAAATGTGATAGTTATTATCATTAACTCTGTGATATCTTTCTTCTTTCTGCTTTTCTCTAATTTCTATTATGACCACTTACTACATTTTAATGTAAAAAATAAGAGAAACATTGTCTTAAATAACAATATAAAAATCCTCCCATTCAAATAAATTTTAAAAATCCTTCCATTCTGTCCTTCCCCTAACTTCCTTTTTCAGCTTTAATTAGGCGGCAGGACCAGAGAAAAAATGTTTTCGGAGAGGCAAAGTGGATGAGAAAAATGTTTTATCTATCCTTAGGCACCCAGCCACCCAGATGCTACTCCTACACCTCTCCCAAATCAATATAACTCTCCTCCAATCTTCTCTTTTGCTCCTTCCTAACAAACCAACACACAAAATATTTTTTTCCAAATAACTTAGTTTTCACTGTACCTTCCAATGTTGTCCATAAATTAGAATGTGCTTCTTGGCAATGTCCACTCGGCCCCAGGCCATTGCCAGATTTAATTGTTCTGATGCTGATAAATTTGTGCCTAGAGTGAAAGAAAGAGCAATCATATATTATATTCAAAATATCTACTTAAAAACACAAAGTGCCATTGAATATGGAAAGAGGAAGTGAGGAACAATTGTAACCCTATTCAGACACTTACCCTTCAATAGAGCTGTTAGGATTGCTAAATCTAGGTCTTGTTGCTCCTCAGAATCAGCATCAAATATGGTAATCTGTAATAATTGAAAAACAGAACACCTCGGCACAACTTTCCTGGCATTTTTCTCACCAATGCAGTTTTCAATTTTCTTAAAACATCGTCAAAATAAGACCCCATGATCATCCTGTGTCTTTCAAGAAAATCTGTCAAGATTACCCCTTGGGAATCCCAAAAAATAGTCACCATAACCTTCCGAGCTGTCTTCCCTCTCCTGGCTCATCTTTGTGGTCTTTTGACCTTCCTTAAAGCTTTTGATCCACCTAAAAACTGTTGTTTATCTTATGTTGGGCAGCGTTCCCATAAACTTGTTGCAAAGCTTCAATGATTTAGGAAGATGTCCACTTGAGTTTTGTTAAAAATTTGATATTAGCCCTGACCTCAAAATCGTTCTTTTTCCATGGCACAAAAAGTATCATTTTACCAAGGACTGCCAGAAGAACGAATAATCTGTCTTGGAAGAAGTACAGCCAGAATGCTCCTTGGAAACAAGGATGGCAAGACTTTATCTCATGTACTTTGGACGTGTTATCAGGAGGCATCAGTCCCTGGAGAAGGACATCAAGCTTGGTAAAGTAAAGGGTGAGCAAAAAAGAGGAAGATCCTCAACAAGATGGATTGACACAGTGGCTGCAACAATGGGCTCAAGCATAACAATGACTGTGAGGATGCAGCAGGACCCGGCAGTATTTCATTCTGTTGTACGTAGGGTCACTATGAGTCAGAACTGACTAGACAGCACTTAACAACAACATAACTAATAAGACTAAGACAAATGTATTACCGAGAGAACTTGTCTGAAGCCACAGAGACATGTTTAAACACGTTTTGTTTGGAATAAACCTGTGCACGTATGAAGTGGAACCCTAGTAGTAATACTTTTTGACTAATCTTCGTATTTAGCCATATTTTCTCTAGTCTGGACTTGTGCAATTGGTTTTTTGAGACCAGTTGTTTAAATATTACCAATAATCTTATATAATTTGATCCAGCCTTCAAATTCTGGAAAGATCACATTGAACCAGATTTATCTGGTCATATCATCAACAAACTTTTATCCAAATCACTGATAAAAAGTGCTTTGATCTAAGTACCCTATAACACTAAAAACTTTCCCTTTAATCTACATTATGTTTACAGCCCACAGTTTACAGACTCCATTTCCTATCTCAGGGTATATTCTTACATTTCCCACTGCCCAATTACCTCCCCAATGACCTCCTGCAGGATTTACTCAGGATACTACGATGAGCATTATCTAACCCCACAGACTTGAGATCACTTAAGACATAGAGCTGCTCCCTTACCCACTGAAAATATTTATGTGTGATCTTCACTAAATCTGATTGCTTTTCGGCAACCTGACTGCTAGGTTATCTACAAGCTTTTTCCCAGATAGGCTCTCGAATTTGAAAGCTAGGAAACAATCAGTAGGAAGCCAAGTTTACTCAACTAAGGGTCAAGTTCAGTAGAATTACATACAATCAAGTTAAGAATGAAAAAGTTGACCATTTAAAACATTGTAAAAATAAATAAAAATATTACAATTGTTGGAAATCAGCATTTTTTAAAGTCAGCTAAACCATAACTCATACTCACAGAATCCCTGTGTACCATACACTCCATTAGAATTTTAAAGAGGTGCTTGGACTGTTTTAGACTAAAGTTGAAAGTGCTCTGCATCATGCAGATGATCTCCTCTTTCACCTGAGGACGTAGAGTCCTAGGAGAGAGAAAGATGGCTGTGACTGGACATAACCCAGAGAAGGCAACAAGCCAGCAACATCAGTACGAGAAAACCCATCCACCCCACCTGACTGAGAAGGTTTCTATGGTCAGTTTAGCTAAGAGAGCAAGCGAGCAGGAAGCAAAAAGCAGCAGCACTGGAAGAGGCTGAATTTCCAAGTGAGAATGGAATGATCTTCCAGGACTCCAAAAAGAGGGACACTGGGGCAGGGCTCTTTTTTTTTTTTTTTTTTTTCCCTATTGTTATAAAATATCTATAACACGACATTTGCCAATTCAACATTTTTTTCATGTATAATCCAGTGACACCAGTGACATGAATCATGTTGTGTAACCATCAGCAGTGTCTGTTGTCAAGGTTTCCAGCCTCATAAATGGAAACTCAATGCTTCCTAAATAATGACTCTCCCTTCTCCCCTCACCCCCGCCCCTGGTAACCATCTCTATACATTTGTGGGGCTGACATTTCAGGGAGGAGCTGTGAATCTCCAGGAATTATGGGCATCATATTCTCAAAAAGATCTGAGACCCCAAAATCTTTAAGAGCTAATCAACTAGGGTGCGTTTAGGATGGGGAGAGGTATGAAAGGATAGGGAAAGGGGTAGAAGGGCGAAGTAGAGGGCTGAGGTCACAAAAGGGAGAGAAATCAGAAGGAAAGGATCCCCAGAGCAGTTATGACATAAGCAGTGACTGAGTGTTTATTAAGTAAATTAGCGAGGTCAGCATCTTCGTTCTTAGGCACTATATTTATTTGGAGCCCTGATGGCACAGTGGTTAAGAGCTATGGCTGCTAACCGAAAGGCTGGCAGTTCGAATCCACTAGCCCCTCCTTAGAAACCCTATGGGGCAGCTCTACTTCGGCCTAAAGGGTCACTATGAGTCAGAATCAACTGAATGGCAATAGGTATATTTATTTACACAGTAGAAATATGAAACTGGAAGAATCTCACTGGATATAGGGATGGCTAGAGAAAAACTACCTTCTTATTTGAAAAGGGAAAATAATTAAAACCTCAAATAAGCACAACATAGGCTATATATGGCCAGGATATCAATTTCCCCCAAATTTGGGAGAAATAAATACAACAATTAGTGCTATTTTTTAATAATGGCAAATGAAGGCGATCGGGGGTCAACACTGGTCCCCTCACTCACTGCAGGGTTGTTTCAGTTACAATGGCCAAGTACATGAACACCTCCTGCCTCCCTCCCGCCAGCAACGCGTCTTTCCCCACAGCTCAGATGGGCCTCAAACTTCCCTGTTAAAGGCAGGCAATTCTTCAACTAAGGAAGCGGCAACTCTCATCACTGGAGGGCATTGTGGTATTGATTAACAAATACAAAAATCAGTGAAAAATGAATTCCAGCCTCAACTTCTGAACTACCAGGATATTTGACTCATATAAATGCACAGCTTAAAGAACTAAAATAGAGGAATAGTCACCATGATTTCAAAAATGAGGAGGCAACAACTCACCCTTCATCCACTATGTGTTTGTGGGTGAAGGCCAGGAGGTCAGCAGCTCGGCCTGTGCCTTCGCACACCACCACTGGGTCATTGTCCTTCACAGTTTCCCACACTGAGAGGATCATGTTGGGGCCTCCTTCCACCACCAGACCCACCACGGGTACACCTTGTCTTGTACCTGTTTCAGATCACAAACAATACCACAATGTTACACAGGATCCCTATGTCAGCCAATCACCTATTGTGATTTTCAGACATGCCTTCCAATTACCATATATGCTCATTACTTGCCCTAGCACCTCTCTCTTACCTTACAGAGGCTTCCTTACGTCAAGACTAAGTGAGGAGCCTGGGTTTCAAATAAAATGTTGCGTAAATATGGTGAGAGTATCTTCAAGCTTTTACCTGATAAAAGGCAGTTAAACGTTTTCAGTAAATTTTAAAATATAGGTACTAGTTGCCATCAAGTCAATTCTGACTCACAGCAACCCCACGTGTGCAGAGTAGAACTGGTAGAACCGTGCTCCATAGGGGTTTCAACGTCTGTGATTTTTTGGAAGTTGATCACAAGGTCGCTCTTCAGAGTCTCCTCCAGGTGGATTTGAACTGCCAACCTTTCGGTTAATAGCTGAGCACTTAACAATTTGTGCCACCCAGGGACTCCAAAATATGAAATTTCAACTTTTCATTATGGAATTTTTCAAATATATCTAAAAGTAAGCAGACTGTTAAAATGGATCCCAAGGTATCCATCACTCATAAACAAAAATAACCAACATTTTGCCAATTCAATAAACTTTAATTGCGGTCATTTCTGGGATGTAGGAACAAGAAGGGATGGGCAAGCCTCAAAGGCTTTTATTTTTCCATCTCTTCCATTCTTCACTGTTTGAATTTCTTATCATGACTTTATATTACTTTAAAAAAAAAAAAAAAAACCACACTAGAAGCCTATGTCAGTCACATCTCAAATGTCTGAAGCCAGAGATTCCTACAGCAACTTAAGGATGTGAGTCTTCTTTTTGTAAGTATCCTCTGCCAACATCAAGTGTTTGCCAGGGACTCCAAGAAGCCTGGCTTCCTAATAAAATCAATACAGACAGTGAAAAAAAGTATCTCTTCTCAGTCTTTAATCTGGACACTTCCCCTGGCCACATGGAAAGAAATAAAAGAAACCATCAAAATATTTAAGTATCGACCACTTCAGAGACAAATATAAATATGGTAGTTTGTTGTTGTTAGTTGCTGTCAAGTCAGCCCTGAATCATGGTGACCCCCTTACAACAGAACAAAACATTGCCCCGTCCTGTGCCGTCTTCATGATCATTGGTTCTACTCCACTGTTGAGGCCACTGTGTATTTTGAATGTCTTTCAACCTAGGGTTCCAGCACATATCAGATAATAGATAATACATTGCGATCCATAGGGTTTTCACTGGCAAATTTTCAAAAGTAAATCACGAGGCCTTTCTCCCTAGTCTCTTAGTCTGGAAGCTCCACTGAAACCTGTCCATTATGAGTATTTAAAATACCAGTGGCATAGCTTCCAGCATCATAGCAACAGAGTAGCAGCATCAAGCCACCTGAGTACCACAAACTGATAGACAGATGGTGAGACTATGGTAGTAAATCTCCTTAATGCAGCATATCAGGTATAAAGATCAGCCTTGGTACACAAGAATTTTGTCTTTGTTGGGGGCTTTTTTTTTCTTTTCTTTCTTCATGTATGTGTGTGGGTATATATAGCTAACTTACTGTTTTTGCTGTTTTTATATCAGTTCTCCTTAGATCAATAAGTGTTACCAATCCACTGGAACTACCTCCATAAATCTTCCAGTTAAACACTAAATATCAAGGTCTTTGAAAGTAGAAATGTCACCTGCTGTTACATGCAGCTCAGAGTTCCTTTCATTCATGCAGTGAGGGGGAATTAGCAAGGAATAAGAAAGACAAAGACTTTGCTCCCTGGGGCTTACATTATAGTACTGCATAGAACCCTGAGCAATTCATGTGGTTAGCAGTGTCAATAGAGGTTAAACTCTTTGCCATCGAGTCAATTGATAGTGACCCTACAGGACAGAGTAGAACTGCCCCATAGGGTTTCCAAGGAGTGCCTAGTGGATTCGAACTGCCGACCTCTTAGTTAGCAGATGAACGCTTGGCCACTGCGCCACCAGGGCTCCCAATAGAGGTTACCTATCAACATTTCGAAGCCCTGGTGGCAAAGTGGTCAAGAGCTCAGGCTGCTAACCAAAAGGTCGGCAGTTTAAATCCATCAGCTGCTCCTTGGAAATCTTCTGGAGCAGTTCTACTATGTCCTATAGGGTTGCTATGAGTTGAAACCAACTCGACAGCATCTAACAACAACATCAACATTTCAGGTAATGCATATTTCAGACCCCAACATGGGTCTTCTGTACAGGGATTCTTCCTCCTGGCCCAGCCTGCCCCTCCGTCTCGCTCTTCCTTTCCCCTAACCACTCTGATTAGCGCACACCACATACCTGATCCTCTCTCCCTTTTCCCTGACCTGACTGAGCCTCAGAATCATCATTCATGTTAAGTTCTAAGTAACTGGCAACAACCCCCAGAGTTCCTGCCTCCCTCCCCCACCAGGAGATGACCCCTGTAACAAAGGAGAAAAAAGGGAAAGAAAGAAACAGACATTTATTAAGGACATCCTACTCAATGGACACTATTCTAGGTACATTTAAGTAATATCTCTTATTACTTTTATTATTCTCACAGGAAAAGCAGTAAGAGATAGACAATTCCTTTCATTTTGTCTAAGAAAACAGTCTGACAGATGTTAACTCCATCACCCAAGGTCACAGGAAGTAAATGACATCGCTGGTGTTACTACACTCTGCTGCCTTAGGGGATCAAAGTCAAAAACTAAAAGGACCTTCAGCATTTACCAGTCAATGGTCAACAGCTGAAGAGAATCTCAGCCTCCTCAAGGGCATTTCCTACTCCCTGGCTCACTGCTCCAAAGGATGGGAATATTCTGTGGAATATTTAAATCAGCACTAGGGCAGGGCCCACCTTCTGTTCCACCACCACCACCAGTTGCCATTGAACTCTGACTCATGGCAACGCCATGTGTGTCAGAGTAGAAATGTGCTCCATAAGATTTTCAATGGCTGGTTTTTTAGTAGATCACCAGGCCTTTCTTCCAGGGTGCCTCTGAGTGGACTTGAACCTACAACCTTTCAGTGAGCAGCTGAGCATGTTAACCAATTACACCACCCAGAGACTCCTTCACCTTCTGTTACCTTGAACTAAAAGGCTACATTCTCCTAGCAGCACCCAGGCCTCATCCTCTCTGTAAAGGATTCTCACCTCTCTGCCCAGGGACGTTTGCAGACTCTGGCCCTTGCCTCTCCTCTCCTCTCAACAGAACCTGGATGGTTCTTGTGAATACCACTGTGAGGATGACACAGCCTTGTCACCTTCAAAGAATCCCTATTTCTAAAAACCCCATCTGGTTTCCAGGCCCTCCTCTGTCTGGGTTCACCTTTATGAAATGTCATCTTTCATGATTACCAAAGCTCATACTCCACTCTTCTCAGGCTAGTCTCCTGACTGCTCTTCAACCATCCTCATTCCCACATCGATACTTCCTCTCCTCTTTCCTGCCATCCATCCAACCCTGGTGGCATAGTGGTTAAGAGCTATGGCTGCTAAGCAAAAGGTCGGGCAGTTTGAATCCACCAGGTGCTCCTTGGAAACCCTTATGGGGCAGTTCTACTCTGTCCTATAGGGTCTCTGTGAGTCAGAATCAAATAGATGGCAATGGGTTTGTTTTTGTTTTTGTTTTTAATCCAACCTTAAGACTCTCCAAGCCTCCGCTAAAGTCTCCACTCTTCCACGAAACCTCCTCTGACTATGTTGTCACCCAAAGACTTTCCTCTCTCACAATCATCACCCACAATTCTGTACCACCTTATATATTCTGTCATCTGGCTTGTTTTCACGTATATTAACTTAATCTCTCTGACTGCTCTAGGACAGGGGCAGACTTGGGGGCCTTGGTGGTTCAGTGGTAGAATTCTCACCTTCTATGTGGGAGACTCACGTTTGATTCCCAGCCAATGCACCTCAAGAGCAGTTGCCACCTGTCAGTGGAGGCTTGCGTGTTACTATGATGCTGAACAGGTTTCAGTGGAGCTTCCAGACTAAGACAGACTAGGATGAAAGGCCTTACAACCTACTTATGAAAATCAGCCAGTGAAAGCCCTGTGGATCACAAAAGTCCAATTCGAAACAGAGCACGGGGATGGTGCAAGACCAAGCAGTGTTTCACTCTGTTGCACGTGAGGTTATATGAGTGAGGGTCCAATCCAACGGCAGCTAACAGCACTCTGTACAGATGTTAATGGAACACCTTGCTCACAGCAGCCCCACCCGCACCCCTGCCCCACACTCCTCCAGCCAGGACATGTTGACTGAGCTCCACAGGTACTCACAGCTGTGTATCTTCTGCAGAGATAGGTATTTTTCCAGATTTCTCCTGAGCTTCATTTCACATCCATACTTGCCCACAGTCCCATCATCAGCCAGGATGAAGTGTGAGTGCATGCCATTGAGTGTGGTGAGCTTGCTGAGGGGGTTGTCCAGAGTCTGGTACAAGCACACCACCTGAGAGACAGAAAGGACAAGGGAGAGTCAGAACCAGAGATCACTCCTCAGGCTCAGCTGCTCCCAAGAACCGTCTCTCTAGACTGCAGAGTTGTTGTCAAGGTTAAAAAATATATATGTGTTCCTTAGGGCAGTGCTTCTCCAACTGTCTGTGGTGAGGGATCAGGTTGCTTTTAGTATAATATCCCGTTTTTAATGGATCAATATGTGGTCCTACCATGCATAGGTAGTACATAGTAGCTATTACGCACATGAGCTACAGCTACAGACTCATCACACAAGTTTCACAACACTCATGGAGAAATACTATGATAAGTAGTTAAGCTGAAGAAGCACATTTGTAGCAGTAAATTTCTGTCATCACTCTTTTTACATACATAATTTTTTTACTATACATTATGGATTAAATTGTGCCCCCAAAAAATATGTGTCACCTTGGCTAGACCATGATTTCTAGTATTGTGTGGTTGTCCTCTATTTTGTGATATGATTATCCTCCATTTTGTGGTATGTTGTAAATCCTAGCCTCTGTGCCTGTGGCTTATGGCCCCACTCAGGAGTGAGCTATCTGTTAATAAGGCAGGATTAGGCCATGTTAGCGAGGATCAGGGTGGGATGCTACACTCTTACTCAGGTCACAGCTCTGATTCAGATGTAAGGGAAGTTTCCGTGGGGTGTGGCCCACATCACCTTTTATCTTACAAGAAATTAAAGGAGAGAAAAGGGACCTATTACAACCAAGAAAGAAGAGCCTGGAACAGAGTACATCCTTAGGACTTGGGGTCCCTGCACAGAGAACCTCCTAGACCCAGGGGAAGATTGATGAGGACCTTCTCCCACAGCAGACAGAGAGAGAAAGGCTTCTCTAGAGCTGGCACCCTGATTTCAGATTTCTAGCCTCCTAAACTGAGAGAATAAATTTCTGCTTGTTAAAGCCATCCACTTTTGGTATTAATAAAAAACTCAGTAATGATACACACCAAAATATATTAACTGTGGTTATCTTCTGTATACCTTTTGTAATATCTTATTTAAAAAATACATTAGTATTAAAAATAGAAACATTAATGCATCAGTATTCATTTTAGAAAAGTCTATTCCCTTTAGAACAAGAGGGTCAAAGAATCAGTAAATAAGTAAACAGGAATAATCACGTATGCCCCCAGCTTCACTACGCGCAGACCATTGCAAGACCTTGGCTTTTGCTCCAAGCGAAACAGGAGTCATTGAAAAGTTTTGTACAGAGGAGTAACACAATCTGACTTACATTTTAGAGGAGTCATTTTGGCTACCATGTTGAGAATACACTATATAGGAGACAAGGGTGAAGGTTGGCAAGGTTGTCACAATCATCCAGGTGACAGATAATGGTGGCTTGGACCTCCTCAGTAGCAGTGGAGGTGAAGGGAAGTCAGATTCTGAACGTATTTTAATAACAGAGCTGACATAACTTGCTGATGTATCAGGTGTGAGATTGAGACAAAAAGATCATTTCAGGATTACTCCAAGGTTTTTTGTCCTGAGCAACTATAAGGATGGGATTGATATTTTCTAAGATGGGGTAAGGAAAGTAGTAGGAAGTCAGGAGCTTGGTTTTGGACATATAGGTAGTCCCCGACTTACCATGTATTCAAGTTATGAAGAACCACACTTACAACCATCATTTTTTTTTTCTTTTTGTACATCTTATAGTTAGTACATCTTCCTCGGAGGAAGTTACAGGGAAATGGCATGTAGGTGATATGGAAAAAAATTGCTGAGTTACGTGAACATGCTCTAAGCAGTTAAACAGGATATGATGGAAGAGATCAGTGGAAAAATCGTCCATATGGTGACAACAAGAATGCTGAATTTAGAACTTGATATCACCAATATGGAACAGCTCAGAAATTATGAAGAAGGGGAATTGACAGATCAGACTTAATGGATTTTGAAGAGGAAAGAAATGCTGAAGAAGGAAGAAATAATGAGGAAGAGGAAGAAGTTGTCAAAAAATTTTACAGTAAAAGGATTAGCTGGAGTTGGCCTTTAGTTGCTTGAAAACATGAACCCAAACACTGATCACTTTGCTAAAGTCAATAGGCAGATTTAGGAGGCAGTGAGATGTTACAGTGAAATATATGAAGAAAAAAAGAAAAGGATCCTACAGACAACTCTTACTAATTTCCTGAATAGAAATGCCATTCCCATTCCCAGAAATAATCTGGATGATCCAGAATCTTCCACAGTGGAGTTATTACCGCAACTGACAAAATGTCAATGTTGTCCAACTTTTATTCATCGTAGGAGTAAATTTTTATGATTTGTGTATTTTTTATGTATGTATGCATGTATGTATTAAAATATATCTGTAAGTTTATAGGTAATGTTTCCAACTCCCAAAGACAAATAAAGATCAGATTTATAAAGATACTAATAATAAAGACAATAATAATGAAAACTGAAAAAAAAGAGAGAGATACTTGACTTACGTCAGAACCGACTTACGACAGAGTCATTGAAACGGAACCCCGTCATCAGTCAGGGGCTACCTGTATTACATTTGAGATGTTTACGAGACATTCAGTTGTGATGGTAAGTTAGCAGTCGAATACAGGTTCATTTCCATTTATTGTGAAAGAATTGTCTACTTACATCTTTTCCAATAAGATCTCTCTGGTTCTCAATGACACCCCAAGGAGGGATTCCAACTGTCCAGATTTTTTGCGAGGAATAGGCTTTCAGGGCATCCCCAACATGCTTGGACACGCCTGTGAACAACCAGTTTAGAAGTCAAATTTTAACTCACAAATCATGCAAAACACAGTGGCTGCTAGAAAGAGACAAGTAAGTAAGTATATACAAAAGGCCAATCTTAGGGAAAGCTGCTGGCACAGAGGAATTCGTTTCTGATATCTTGGCTCCCTCTACTTCCTCTCAACATCTCTTTCTTTTATCACTGACCTCTCTACTGGAAAATATTCCCCTCCTTTTGGGAATTTTCTGCCTACAAACTGAGCTCTGACCCTTCTCTTCTCTGACCAGAATATCATGAGCACTGCCCCTCCTGAGCAAGACCAGCCCTGACATCATAAATGTTCTCAGTATTTTCCCCCTTATCTTCACTGTCTCAGCAAAACATCCTAGAGTTGCGTCCCTTGCTTCTTTGAAGGGATGATGTTAAAATGCAGAATCTGACTCCCCTGATCTGGGGTGGGGCATGGGATTCTGCATTTCCAGCAAGCTCTCAGGTGACGCTGACACTGCTAGTCCATGGACCACTCCTTGAGTAACCAGGCCCTACAGGAGTTGTAGTTGAATCAGGCCAGACCCTGAGTGTTGGTTAAGGGAGCCCCAAGGATTTCCCATTTCCCATTTCTTTGGTTCATAGGAACTGTTTCAATAGTCTTCACACTATTGTATTCCTTGGCCCTAACCTAAAAGTAAAAAAAAAAAAAGCAGTATGAATGCAGTTAGTTATTTAAAGAAAAAGAGTTGCCTAAGTCTACCTTTTTCTGAACTTTGTGAACCTTCCCAATCTCCTCTCCTTTTATTACTGGAAATAAAATAAGTAGTATACAATGGACTTAGAACTCTGTCACCTTCATTTTCTTCCAAGAATGTGAAACAATAATGATCTCAATAAAAGGTACAAAATGAACTATTGGGTTACCCATTAGTGACAGGCCAAATCCCTAGGTTTTATTTTGCTTTGCTTTTTTTCAGTCATTTGCTTCCTTCTTTCCTTTTCAGTCAGGCTTCATAGCAATTATCTGTTAAATCAGAATGTGTTGCCAAGTGCTAAGGCCTGCCCTCTAGCTCAAAACCAAGTAGGAGGACTATTACACTGACTCATCCCAACCTGTAAGGCAATACAATAAAATCTGCAAAAGCTGGAGCCTGTGTAAGGTGGAAACCTGTCAGAGAAGAAAACTCAAATATTTTTCGCTAAAACAAGCAATAGAAAAGTGGTAAGACTGCACTCTGTCAAAGGTGAAAAACATACGAGATCCAGAAAAACAAGGCAGTCCAGTCAAGTTACGGCTCTCACAGATTTCACTGTATATAACCTTCTTACAAGTGCTACAGATGATATATACTATAGAAATTCAGAGACAAAAGTAAGCACTTCTAGTTGAGATATTTAGACTACTTCATGGGTTTGATGGCATCTAATGTAGATCTTAAAGGATGGAAAAAATTGAATAGAAGACATTGGCTAGCGTATCTCTTATGGATTGAACTGTGTCCCCCAAAAATATATGTCAACTTGGCTAGGCCATGATTTCCAGCACTGCGTGTTTGTTCACCATTTTGTGATTTGATGTGATTTTCCTATGTGTTGTAAATCCTAACTTCTATGAGGTTAATGAGGAGGATTAGAAGCAGTTATGTTAATGAGGCAGGAGTCAATTTACAGGATTAGGTTATATCTTGAGTTAATCCCTTTTGAGATACAAAAGAGAGAAAGAAGCAAAGAGACAGAGGGACCTCCTACCACCAAGAATGAAGAACCAGTAGCGGAGCACGTCCTTTGGACCTGGGGTCCCTGCACTGAGAAGCTCCTAGACCAGGGGAAGACTGATGACAAGGACCTTTTCCCACAGCTGACAGAGAAAGTCTTCCCCTGGAACTGACATCTGAATTTGGACTTGTAGCCTACTAGACTGTCAGAGAATAAATTTGTTTGTTAAAGCCATCCACTTGTGGTATTTCTTTTATAGCAGCACTGGATAATGAAGACAGAATTAAAAGAAGGAAAACCAAAAAGAGGGAAAATGGAAAACTACAAAGTTAATGACTGATTGCTAAGAGATTTGTGAAGTCACCGTTCTCAACCCTGGCTGCACATTAGACATTCTTCGGGAGCTCCACCCTCCAAGAATCTAATCAATTTTCTAGTCAACATTCTAATATGCAGCCAGTTCATAAACACCAATGCAAAAGTGTAAAGTTAGAAGTTAAGATTCCAGTAGATGAAGTGTTTGAAGGGAATTTCAAAGGGTATAAAACAGAGTCAGTGACAAGCAAATAGAGACATTGAGTGTATTGGCAATTACATAGTTTAAAAATATATATACGTCAAAGATATAATTATCTGCTTGTGCCCGATACACTCAGTGCAATTTTTATACACATCACTGATTTCCAATGTCTCAGAGCTTGACAGTGACTATGTGAGTTTAGCTAATGTCCATGCCCATACATGTTACACAGTTGCATGGAATTAATGCCCCTTCTAGCCTCACTGAAGTCTGAATCTCATGAAAGACTACTCATCTTTTCCAGAAGTTCACCCAGTGGCAATGGTAAAAACACATTCCAGGAAAGGCCTATGATTCGTCTGGGTTTATTTTCCCGTTCGCTGGGCTTTTCCTCTATCTCCCTCACATACCACATCTCTTGAGGGTGCTGGAGAACAGAGATTAGGTGTCATATTGCCTTACTCACAGTTTAGAAAGACGGAATTAAAAAAAAGAAAGAAACGTGGGAGTGTGTGTTACCGGTATTAATGCCTTCAGTCAGTATCCATGCTCCCGTGGTCTCTGCAGCTTTGACCAAACCTTGGCTGAATATCTCTTTAAGTCTGGATGGCATCTTAAAGTTCTGGATACCCCCGTGGACAGAGATCACCAGCTTTGGCAGTTCCATCTTCCACTCTTTCAACATTAAATGTAACAGATGATCCAGCCTGGTATCATAAGAAGTTCTAATATACTGGAAGACATGTACATATACATGAACATAAATAAAGACAAACATATGCCAAGTATAGAAACAACAAGCACACAGCAGGACAAGTGAAATGGCCCAAACTTGGGAGGAAGTGACTGAGATCTCTTTAAAAAACTGGTCTTTGTATAATGGAAATATTTACTTTTAAAGGATCCCACACCCCTTTAAGTTCCTTCTGGGAATTACAAGTCACTGCAGGAAGGTTTCCTCTGGTTTTCAAGGTTGGCCCACCAATGCTCTCCAGGGGGTCTGAGGTGAGGCAGAAATACTTCAAACAACTGGCAAAAGTCACTACTTCAGTAAACCCACTAATAAGGAGCTTTAAGAAATACGTGAAATGGGACATTTTTATAAATGCTATGGCTTTTAACTTATTTGACCATTTCACACAGTCACACAGTTTAAATTAAGATTGAGGAACATGTACATCAAGCTTATCGTAAATTATATTCTACCCATTCATTTCTTTTATGTGTAATTACCCCACTGTAAACTTTTTTTTTCCAAAATAAGTAGTTTTCACAGAACAGTCTTTTCTGACTAGCAATGCAACCAAAAGAAACAAGTAATGAGGGGAATCCAAACCAACAGGGATTCCCCGAACCCTGTGCATTTTGCCTAAGATTCTTTTGTATGATTGACTTGTCTTCCCAGCAGATGCAGTCACCTAGGGACCATGCAAATCATATCGAGATGATTTTACGACCTCAAGCTTATGCCAACCAATAACAAGGGTCAATCTGATTTACAGCAAGAAATAAAGTCAATAAAAAACCATGAGTCATAAAACGATGCCAAAAATGATCACAGGTAGAGATCTTCATACACGCAAGTAAGAATTACCACGTTATTTTGCAGAACATGATAGCAATTTTAAGCACTTTTTCACACATCTTTGAACTTCTTAAAATAAATCCCCTTTATTTGATAATTAAAATATTAGAATTTCTGAATATGAGGATGGTGCAGCTATCACGGAAAGTGAGAGACAGAAAGACTCTAAGGACACTCAGGATTCAATTTACAAGTGAGAAAACAGAGCCACCAGGGCTTTATTAAGTATTAAATAGTAGGAAAAAATACAAGATGACCCTCGTAACATGGTTTATGTTGCTCCAAATAATAAACTGGGGGGCAGAGGAGAAAGTCCTTGCTTAGTACCTTCCCTTTATCTCAGCTATTCCCCCAGTGCCCCCTTCTTTCAACTATATGTCCTTTTAGTCCTAGAAGACATTTCTCCCTCCTTCAGATTTAAGGATATACAACCTTGATGAACTAAATATCAACATTAGAGTCTTTTCTACTACACAATAGCTTGTGTCAAAGGCCAAGCAAAGACTATAGTCAAGGTTAATGATTCATTCTTTCCTCCCTACCTCCTATAAAACCAACTCCCTTAGGCTGAATCCTACTGACAGAGGGTCACCTCATTTCCTTTGTGGAATAAGGTGGGAGGGAAAAACCTAAAAGAGGAATGCAGTGGAGGGGGAAAATACAGCTCTTGCAAACTTTCCTACAGCTCAATATAAATATGAAGTAAATCTGAAGTGCAATTCTGGGTCTAAGTATGAAGGAGAGCCTCTTGTCTTCTGCAGGATTAAATAAAATGCCTTCAGGTACACTGGTTGTAACAGGGAACCTAATGCTAAGCATAAAAACATGTTACTGATCAAGGGATTTGTCTAACCATATTTTCAGTTCTCCTCACTATATCAAATTCTCCCTTGATCTTTGCACAAGCTATTCCTTATGCCTAGAGTGTTCCTACCTCTCTGCCTCACCAGATACCATATGCCTTACTCATCTTTCAGATCTCAGCTGTCCCTACTTTCAGATGACTTCCTTGATATCCCTCCCCACCGCTCAAAAAAGGAGTTACCCTCTTCATGCATTCAAAGCATAATGTATTCCCTTTTCATGGCATCATCACCCTCTGTGACAAATGTATATTGTATATTCCTGTTTCTCCACTAGACTGCAAGCAACGTTAGCACATGGAGCATTTCGTGCGCCTTGGGGGATAACAAAGTGTAGGTACCCAGTAAAGATTTACTGAATGAATGAAAACATGAGTGAATGGAGATGATTATCAATATGCACAGAAGCAAAAGGAAGAAGACTAAAACCAAATGGAAAAATTACATCCAGGATTCTATAAGGGTCAGCTCTCAAAAATGACTGCAAAGGAGAATGGGGCAGTTTTTCTGTCAATTAGAGAAAACATCAACACATGAATTTAAATCTAAGAGGATTAATAACTGGAATTGCAGATTACTGTAGAGTTGTATTATGATTGCACTTATTAGGAACTACCATTTCACATCCATCCAAATGATGGTCACATTCCATATACAGCTGATTCCAAGCTTTCCTGAGGTGGGATCCACCTGTGTTTACCCCACGAAAATCCATCTCTATCTAATAAAGCAGCCAGGTGGTTAACATGCTCAAGAGAAAACACATTTTAATAGTATGTAAATCACATGCAAAATTAGTATGTTAAGGACAGAAGAGAAACTGGACTGGGAAGGCCAAGCACTATCATTCAGTGGGTACAGAAAGAAATTCTTCCATTTCCTTCCAAGAATAGCCCCTACTGAGGATGCAGAAGGCATGTTCAGCCACGAGTTACTGGTAATTGACTACGGTCATGCTTCAGCTAAAACCAGACTCCTGAACTTTTTTGCATTCCTTAAAAAAGACAGCCTCATTACATCTCATTACAACTGTTTCAAGGACAATATGCCATTCTCTTCTGCAGAGGGTATAAGCTTGCCAAAAGAGGCCAGTCAAAAGAAGAGGTGATCACACCCTTCTGGAAAGGCACAATGGCCCTCAGACACAAAGGAAGGAGAAAGGTTAAGCCATTTTTGCCAAAGGTCAATAACTTTGGTCACATTTGCAAATCAAGTCAACTAATTATCTACATTTGAAGATACTAACACATTTGGAGGCTATCCTTTGTTAAGTACCAGCAAAACAATTTGGGTTATTAGCAAATGCAAACCTTGGAATGGTAGGTATGCTCTCCATCTTGGAAATTAATAGTGCCAAAGCTATCCGTAGGGCTTTTTGTCGTGTGCTTTTCAACAGACCATTGTTCATTTTCATCACTCTTGGCAGCTGAGACGCTCCAGGGATAATCTACTCCATTATGCTCTCCAATCAATCGCCCACAATAACACCTTAAATTCAGGATAAAAACCAATTTCAGAATAGAATACAGATGTAACTGTTCTACATTGTTCTAAGGTAATGTACAGATCATGTAGATTAACAATTTTTAAAACTTCACATTAAGATTTATACCTATGTGTTTATTTATATTTAATAAGTGAAATATATACTTAAATGTTTAATTGATAAATGTAGTGTATTTAATTCACATGTTTAATTCATATATATACATACATATATACTTAATAGATGAAAAATAGAGGGTTAGAGATGTTAAGTGACTTTCCCAGGGTCACAGTGCTCATAAGGGATAAAGCCAGGATCCAAAGACGGAATTCTGGCTCCAGGCACAGAGATTTTAACCACTCTGCTAGGAATTCCAGTAGGAATAACTTCACTGAAAAAAAATGGCAAAAACATGCTTGTGTATAAACTTTAATTAAGAAAAGACTAAAAATAAAAATTGCAAGTATGGGTAAAAATAGAACTCAATGGAAATGTGAAAGAGACTTGGATTATAAGCATAAATTAAATAATAAATTAATACATGTAACAAGTTTTGAAGATAGGTTTAACATATGTTATTGCATAGGATTAACAACTTTTTAAAATATTTAATAAGTACTCATAAGTTATACTATGCAACAAAATAAACTAAATTAAAAGGTTGAACCTTCCTAAAACTAAAACTATGTAAAAACTAACAGAAAATATCATACTATACTCAGCATATTTGTGAAAATATGATGAACTTCTCATATTTAATGGATTAGAAAATTTAAGGAAAAACTGAAATTTGGATATAAAGAACTTTAAAACTATTATATTCAGTGAAAAACTGAAATTTTTTCAATGAAAAATGATATTTGCAGACTGAGAAATTATTTGCATCAAATATGTCAGATTATATACCTGTTACAAAGAGCTTATTCAACCTTGTATATGATTCAGGACAAACGAAAAACAAATAATAAATAATTATATGAGAAAATTTTTGCCCTTGTTGGAATTGTGAATTGATGCAGTTTTGAAGCACAGTTAATAATTTTAGCGAAATAATTTGAAACTATAACATTAAAGTGGATGTTACAGATGTTGATAAGACCAAAGGGACACTGATACATTTATATATCCCTGAAGACACAAAAATTTGTTTAATTTTTTTTAAAGTATAACGACTAGTCAAACTAATAGTTGTTAATATATTCCTGCCTTCTAATCCAGAATAACCACTCCTAGAAATTCAGAGGAAACAATTCAATAACCACAAAAGCCTATATGTGAGATTATATTTATTACAATACTAATTATAATAAAGAAACAAAAAACAATCAAAAGTTAAAACAATCACTTTTTTTTTCTTGGCTCTGGGTACTAACTTTTTTTAAAAAATTATTTTATTGTTTTGCTTTAATTGAAAGTTTACAATTCAAGTTAGTCTCTCATACAAAAATTTATACATACATTGTTAAGTGACCCTAGTTGCTCTCCCCTCATTTCCACCCCGGATTTCTCGTGTCCTTGCAACCAACTCCTAACCCTCCCTGCCTTCTCATCTCATCTTTGGACAGAAGCTGCCCATTTAGTCTCATGTATCTACTTGTGCTAAGAAGCACACTCTTCACAAGTATCATTTTATGTCCCATAGTCCAGTCTAATCTTTGTCTGAAGAGTTGGTCTCAGGAATGGTTTTAGTTTTGGATTAACAGAGTCCAGGGGCCATGTCTTCTGGGGTCCCTCCAGTCTCAGACCATTAAGTCTGGTCTTTTTACTAGAATTTGAGTTCTGCACCCCACTTTTCTTCTGCTCCAGCTGGGAGTCTCCGTTGTGTTCCCTGTCAGGGCAGTCATTGGTGGTAGCCAGGCACCATCTAGTTCTTCTGGTCTCAGGCTGATGAAGTCTCTGGTTTATGTGGCCCTTTCTATCTCTTGGGCTAATACTTTCCTTGTGTCTCTGGTGTTTTTCATTCTCCTCTGCTCCAGGTTGGTTGGGACCAGTTGATGCATCTTAGATGGCTGCTCGCTAGCTTTTAAGACCCCAGACACCACTCACCATAGTGAGATGCAGAACATTTTCTTAATAAACTTTGTTATGACAGTTGACCTAGTTGTCCCCTGAAACCATGGTCCCCAGACCCCAACCCCTGCTACTCTGTCCCTCAAAGTGTTTCAAACAACCTAGTTTTCATTAGAGTAATTAGTTAACAAAGTGTGCCACATTAACACAATAAAATATTAGGTGTGGACTTTTCTGAGTTTTTTTTTTTCCTTTTCAAATTGTCTCTAATATTGGTTTGTTTGTTTTTTTTTAGTAACATGTAACATGATATAGAAAATAAGACTGACTGAGGGCTGTGGGGACCATGGTCTCGGGAAACTTCTAGCTCAACTGGCATAACATAGTTTATAAAGAAAATGTTCTACATTCTACCTTATTGAGTAGTGTCTGGGGTCTTAAAAGCCTGTAAGTAGCCATCTAAGATATTCCACTGGTCTCATCCCTTCGGGAGCAAGGGAAATTGAAGAAAACAAGACACAAGGGAAAGATTAGTCCAAAGGACTAATGGCCCACATCTACCACAGCCTCCACCAGACTGAGTCCAGTACAACCAGATGGTGCCCGGCTACCACCACTGACTGCTCTGCCAGGGATCACAATAGAGGGTCCCAGACAAAGCTTGAGAAAAATGTAGAACAAAATTCTAACTCACAAAAAAAGACCAGACTTACTGGCCTGACAGAGACGGGAGAAACTCCAAGGGTATGGCCCCGGGACACCCTTTTAGCTCAGTAATGAAGTCACTCCCGAGGTTCACCCTTCAGCCAAAGATTAGACAGGCCCATAAAACAGAACAAGACTAAAGGGTACATCAGTCCAAGGGCAAGGACTAGAGGGCAGGAGAGGACAGGAGAGGACAGGAAAGCTGGTAATAGGGAACCCGAGGTGGAGAAGGGAGAGCGTTGATATGTTATGGGGTTGTTAACCATTGTCATAAAACAATATGTGTACTAACTGTTTAATGAGAAAGTATTTGTGCTATAAACCTCATCTAAAGTACAATTAAAAAAAAAACTGAAGTAAGTTGGTGTTTCATAATCTCTTGTCATTTCTGAAATCAAAAATTTATCACATGAACTAGAGTCCAAGCTACCATTTTTGGCCAAGAGGGAGTAACCCCACTATAGCCTATATCTCCTGATGGTTACAGCTAAAATCTCATTGCGAAGTACAAAAAAGACAACTACCTGAGGGCTCTGAAAAGCATACAGAAATAGGCAGATTTGGAAGAGAGTCAAAATTTAGAGAAGCCACCTAGGTACAGGAGAGAGTTTCTTGGTTTCTTGGTTTCCTTCTTTCCTTCCTTCCTTCCTTCCTTCCCTCCCTCCTTCCTTCCCTCCCTTCTTTCTTTCCTTTCTTCTCTCTTTCTTCTCTCTCTCTCTCTCTCTCTCTCTCTCTCTAACACCTTTAACCGAAGGGCAGAACACAGACATGGAACTGTGCAGTGGTGGCACAAGAGGCTAAAACTCCAATAAAAAGTTCATCTTTTGAGGCAGAGGAATGGGGAAAAGGGTCACTATGCCCTGGTGACGCAATGGTTAACCACTTGGTTGCTAATAGAAATGCTGGCAGTTTGAACCCACCAGTAGCTCCATGGGAGAAAAGAACTGGCAATCTGCTCCTGCAAAGATTACAGCCTAGAAAACCCTATGGGACAGTTCTATAGGGTCGCTATGAGTCAGAACTGACTTGACAGCACACAACAAAAACAACATGGTATGCAGAGTATGGGGGATCCCTGTTTTTGTTTGTTTGCTTGTTTTTGTTTCCTAGCTCTGCCCTGAGGGCAGGTCATAATCACAGGGTTGCACAGAAGTGGTTGCATGGGCAGCTAAAATGCTGAGAAAAACCCCATCATTCTGGAAAGAAGAAATGAAAAAGGGGAGCCCTACAGACCACAGAGAATATGGAAATCCAAGAGAGAAGAGAGCTTGAAAAGAGGATGCTCTAATTTGTGTATAAACCCACACAAGTCCCAGGCTCACTACTGCATTGCACATGCATAAGACAGACCCAGAGCAGTACAGCAAAGACATTAAAAGCTGAAGAAAGATGTAAACCTCTGTTCAAGTCTCACAATAGCCTCTGAGTAGCATATGTTCAGGAGAGACCCAAGTCAGTACAGCAAAGGCTTTGAAAACTAAACTAAGATTGGAACCCCCTCCTAGAAAAGACAAGATAGAACCTGTTGCATAAATCTAACTAGGTTGATTTTCAGCTCAAACACAGAAAATTCACATTCTCCAGAACATTTTAAAATAACTCAGAGTCTATATAACATATTATTCAAAATGTCCAAGACACTATACAAATTACTCAACCACCAAAAAAAGGAAAATGTGACCAATTCTTACGGGAAAATATGATCAACAGATGCCAACCCTGAAAAATTAGAATTATAAGACAATGACTTTAAAGCAACTATTATAACCACATTCCATGAGGTAAAAGTAAACACACTTGAAATTAATGAAAAGATAGTAGTTCTCAATAAAGAAAGGGAAATTATTTTTTAAAGTGGCAATTTTAGAACTAAAAAGTACAATATCTGAAATAAAAAATTCACTAGATGACCTCAATAACAGAATGAAAATGATAGAGAGAAATGTCAGTGAACTTGAAGATAAATCAATAGTAATAATCCTATCTGAAGAACAGAGTGAAGAAAATACTGAAAAGGTACCCAGAACCTCAGGGACCTATGGGGCAATATCAAAAGGTCTAGCATTTGTGCCACTGGAGTCCCAGAGGGAAAGGAGAAAGAACAAATATTTGAAGAAAATATATTTTAAGAAACATGACCAAAAACTTCACAAATATGGTGACATATTTAGATTCAAGAATCTCAGCAAGCCCCAAACAGTATAAACTCAAAGAACATCACAACCAGAAACAACAATATCAAACTGCTGAAAAATAAAGATAAGAGAAAAAGCGTTTTGAAAGCAGC